ACACGATTATACATATATAATTATACACATTATATAATGTATGTACACGTATATTAATTATAATCTTATAACTAATCTATGTATACTACTAATCTTATTGTTATTAATTATGATCTTATAACTGATCTATGTATACTACTAATCTTATGTATATTAATTATAATCTTATAACTGAATATATAATATATATATCTAATATACATAATCATATATAATATAGACACTATATAATATATATTATGATCATATATGATATATAAAAATTTTATTGTTTCTTCTAAAATCAGTTGATTATCTACAATTTGTAAGATACATGTATATACATACATAATTTCTTACATATCAATGTAGATAAAATATAAAATTTTATACATTCATGTATAATTTCAAATTGCTTCAAAACATTCTAAATAAAACAAAACAAAAATGTTAAACTTCAGTAAATCGATCGATAGAAATTTGGATGCTGCATGAATAATCTTTTATTCATTACATGAATCTCTAATTTGATGTATAATGAATAAAATAGCAGGGTACGCATATAGTACCTCAACTTGTATAAAAATCGCAAATTGTACGTCTATCAAAAAATAATATAAAATTTTTAAATATTTTTTTTATTTCATTATAACAAGACAATTTAAGATTTTAAAAATAAATCATAGAAATTACAAAATTATTTACCTATAAAATTAAAATTATAAAATCAAAATTATCGTGGAAGTTATAACAATAAAATTATGATTTTTAAAATTATTTTTAATATATCAGGTAGTAACAAGGATATTGTTAAACATTATAATATAAGAAATAACAAAAAAATTATTTAATAATGTGGAGCTTAAATAACTCCATAATATTTGTAAATAATAAAACATCCGCAAAATAAAATGAATATGCTAACTTTTAAAACAATTGTAATACTAACTATGTTTAATTCACATGTAACGATATACAAGTAATTATATTAAATTTTATGTTACATCATTAAAACTAATAAAACTAATTTTAGAATTTTGCTTATTATAACATTTGTTCAATATAGTATACATATTCATATAAATACATAAACATATTTAAGAAATTGTATTTCTTCGTGTTTCTTTGTAGGCGTTTCAATTTAATGAAAAAAACTATTTATTTAGCATCGCAACAACTTCTTTTGTTATGAAATACTCTACTGTATATATACACATACCAATGTCAAACTAAACTTCTATAGACAGAGATTGAAACAAACAGGTTCTTCTCGTTCTCAAAAAAATTCTATATTTTTCTATATTTTTCTATATTTCTCTTTTATAATTTATTAATTTATTTTATTTCATATAAGAGAATCTGTTTTTGTGAAATTTTTATAGAAAAAAGCATAGAAACACTTAGGAACATTTTCTCATAGAACAGATATTTTAGAATCTGTATAATAGAACAGATTATTTTAGAACATTCAATTAAAAATCCATTTTTACATTCGAGTACTATTTATTGAATAGAATTAGTGTTAGAAATATAGAGAACTTTTTTAATATTTATAAAATAACCTGTACCTCTAAAAATTTTTGGTTTTACATTTTTTAAGTTCTGTCTGAAACTTTTCTATTACTATTCTTAACTTACTATTCTTAAGAACATTCACTTATCAGATCTTGTCTGGATTTGTAATGAAAGAACATTTTTTCAAAAAGTTCCAGCCATGTTTCAAATAGAATCCATTTAGAAGTTCCTTAATTTTTTCAATCCCTGCTTCTAAATCTTTGAAATTTCATTTTTTGCTTAAAATTTATTAAAATAGATTATTATTATTTTCATGCATTATATTTATGTATTATAAATGTAGTATAATAATCATTTATATCATCTTTAGTATAATTACTACATGTGATGTGATCTGTAATTGTTATGTGATAATTATCACTAATTGTTAAATTTAATTTTTCATTTTCACAATAAGTTAAGTTTGCGAAGAATCGAAATAATCTCGTATTTGAGAATCTCAGCTAGTAATAAAACTCGCTAGCGAAACATTTTATCGCCGACATATCAAATTTATGCGATGGTACGCAGCACATTGAAATTCTATGTGTAAACTAGACAAGGAAAGATGAAGCATAGAAAGAGAGATCAAATAAGAAAGAACCGACATATTCTTCAACAAGCACTGCACCAAAAAGGTTCAGACATGTGCATAGTTCCATGTGATTATTTTACTCCTGAATTCTTGTTAAATATTTCTTATTTTTCTTCTTATTAAATATTTCTTATTAAAAAAACGTGGTACTTAAGTTTAATCCATCTTTTACATAACTGCAATATATAAGTGCAATGTACACATGGTTGAAAAAGTGCAGTCAACGCGTGGCATCGAAAAAACTAGATGTTAAATTTTATTCTGATAATTTTACAAAATGTGACATTAAAACGAATAATCGTCAACCAAGAACCTTTAATGATATTCCCGGACCAAAATCTTTACCAATTATTGGAACGCTTTACAAGTATCTACCGTTTATTGGTAAGAAAAACAAAGTCACTTTAAAGTGCATGTAACATATATATTAAGTTGTCAAACACACCAATATCAGTACAATGCAAATAAAAATATTTTAAATAAAGACTTTAATAAATTTATCATTACATTGTTATGAGAGAAAATAATACATTACATATTATGACATGTATATATATACACAATAATACGTGTTGTACATATACTATACGTACTATTATTTCTTATTATTTAATCTATAAATGAAGCTCATGTATTTTTAATAATATTCGGAAATAAAAATATTTTTTGCAATTGCTCAATGTCATAATAAAATAAGATACAACCTGATTATATTGTTATTTATTCACATTTATTAATGTTCAATAGGTGAATACAGTTTTACAAATTTATATGAAACTGGCAGAAAAAGGCTGAAACAATTTGGTCCGCTGGTACGCGAAGAAATAGTACCTAATGTAAACGTTATATGGGTTTTTAGACCGGAGGATATAGCAGAGATTTTTAAAGCAGAATCAGGTTTATACCCGGAGAGAAGGAGTCATTTAGCACTTTTAAAATATCGAAAAGATCGTACCGATATATACAACACTGGTGGTTTATTACCCACGTAATATGCATATTTTTTACAATTTTCAATATATCGTGTTACATTGCATTTAGCACATTTTATTATTTTTATAGTTATTATTTTTTGCATAATACATAAATAAAATTATAATAATAATTTATATTGTTAATTATTTATATTACTTAGTTGCTACTAAATTAATAACAAACATAAGATATGTGCTTTTCTATTTGATGTAAGACAACAATAATCTATAATATATTGATTTGTAAAATTTTTGTTATATACATACATATAATATTAATCTTAAAATATTGTATATATTGCATAATTTGTTTGTGGATAATTGTTTATCAAATTTTACTATATTTATTTTGTATTTAATTAGAAGAAATAGGAATACAAATTATACATATGTATATATGTTATTAAAAGTTATATATATTCTTATTTTAATGTTTTTCTATTGTTGTTATTCAACAATATATTTAGAGTATTTAATTGTAACACAGAATGATATGATTGCAATACAAATTTAATATATTTTTATATTGTATTACTAATTGTGCATAAGTATTTTGTTATGATATTTACATCATAATAAAATTTTTATATACCAAATAATTTAAAACAAGCATTAATAACTTTTGAAGTTTAGAGACAATTAAAAACTAATTCCTATTACTTAGAAACTAATTATTAAAAATATTTGTATACGTATACATACAGTTCATAGTATATGAAATAGATATTGGGCACGGTATTAACACTATTAGTATATAATGAAGTAAGTTAATCAATTGTAATGCAGCATTACAAATTTCAGAAATGGACCAGAATGGTGGAGATTACGAAAAGAGTTTCAAAAAGTTACTAGTAAACCTCAAGATGTGATTAATTATTTAAAAGAAACAGACGAGGTCATCCAGGAATTTATTGAATTATGTACTAATGAAAAATTTGAAGACTTATTACCTCTTTTATCACGCTTGTTCCTTGAATGTAATGTGGTATATCTCTTACTATACATAGAAATATTAAGTATTTATATAATATTAAGTATAAATATAAATAAGTATATATAATATAAGTATATATATAATATAAGTATATATATATATATATAAGTATATATATAATATTAAATATAAATATAAATATTAAGTAAGTATTTCTTGTAATTTATATTTTTTGGAAATTTAAATTTTTGTAATTTAATTTTCAAATTTAATAACTGATATTATTTTTTAATAGATAAAAACATTTATTCTTAATAATAATTGTTTTAATGTTCAATTTCAGTAACATGTTTGGTTGTTTTTGATGTAAGACTGAATAGTTTCTCGAAAGAAGAAAGATGTGAAAATTCTACAAGCTCCAAGTTAATCAAAGCTGCTTTTACAACAAATAGTGTAATTTTAAAGTTGGATAATGGATTGCAATTATGGCGTTTCTTTGAAACACCATTATATAGAAAATTACGTAAAGCACAGGCATACATGGAAATGTAAGCAATAATTTTTAATTTAGATTAAATTAATTATTGATTATAATTACTTTATTACTTACCATAGAAAATCTTTAAAAATATATCATTGATCTTATTAATAACTCTTTAATAATGATGCAAAAAATTTTTATATATTTAAACTATTATTAATAACATTATTAATAACATTTATCATAAATAAATAGATATGGCTTAAATATTTCATTTTATATATTATAATTAATTTGTTTTTAATTGCTTTTATTTCCTTATATTTTGTTTTTTTAATTTTATTTATTTTATTAGGGTTGCATTAAAATTGGTATCTCAAAAAAACAAAGATACAACTGGACATAAATCATTTTTAAGTGCCTATTTAAAAAACCCTGCTCTGGACATTAAAGATGTTGTGGGCATGGCTTGTGATATGTTACTTGCTGGTATAGATACTGTAAATATCATAATACATGTGATTATAGATATAGTTATATATTAATCGTATTTATGCGTATTTATTATATAAAAAATATGAATAGCATATATTTTATCTTAATCTATTTTATTGTGTTTATTTCTTTCATTACTTCATCATTAAAATATGATCTTGTATTATTGAATTTCACATTATTTTATTAATATTACTATAAGTCAATAATAATAGGCTAATGATTGTAGGTATGCATAAATTTTCTATATTTTTAGACAACCTATAGCACAGCTTTTGCTTTGTATCATCTAGCAAGAGATCAAGATATACAAGAAAAATTGAGAACTGAAGCCACACAGTTTTTAACTTATCATGAACCAATAACAGCAGATGTGTTAAGAAGTGCTTCATATACCAAAGCTATTATTAAAGAAAGCTTACGACTAAATCCTATTTCTATAGGAATAGGTCGTATATTGCAAACTGATACTATTCTTAATGGTTATCAAGTACCTAAAGGGGTAAGTTGTATTACTGAAAAAAATATAATTATTTAAGAATTCTACAAGTTTCAATAGAATTCATTTTCTAATTAATAATATTTTTATTTTATTAATATTTTTACTAATATTTTGATACATTAAAAAATATATTTTTTTATTTGAATTCCTAAATTAAAAATATATTTCTTTTATTCATTTCTTTAGACTGTTGTTGTAACACAAAATCAAATTATTTGTCGTCTTCCTGAATACTTTCATGAACCCGACTTGTTTATGCCAGAAAGGTGGTTACGTGAACATTCAAAAAGTGCCAATAAAATAAATTATGGAAAATCGATACATCCATATATATCATTACCTTTTGGTCATGGTCCTAGGTCTTGTATTGCTAGGCGTTTTGCAGAGCAAAATATGCAAGTATTGTTGTTAAGGGTAAGTTTTTCATTGGTTTTAAAAGACCGATGCTTGCACAAAAAATAATCTGTAATTTTTAATATATTCAAGCCCAGTATCTTATTTATTTATTTTTATTTTAATTGCATATGTAGTATTACCTTGTGGCATTCTTACAATTTCTTGAAATTAATGATTTTTTTATTTCATAGATAATTATATTTATTTTTTGTTTTATTAATTTCTTAAATTGAACAAAGTTTCATTATGAAAAGATTCCAGTGAGTTTTAATAAAAAGTATTTATTACATAATATCATATAATATTTTTGACAATTTTGAAATTTTACCATACAACTCTATATTACTTAGTTATAAATTTTTTGTTACTGATATTTTTTTTGTGTGTTGATAAACTAAAACGTTTTGAAGAATCCATTTCTCAAAAGCCATTTCCCTTAAATTTTCTTTAACTCTTCTTTTGATACAATTGAAGTATATGTAATTATTTTATATTAAAATGATATAATCTTCTTACATTGTGCAGATATGTCAACGGCTTAAAATTTCTTGGTATGGAGGTGAACTTGGAATGAAGTCTTTGTTAATTAATAAACCAAATGCCCCGTTAAAATTCAAGTTTCATGAAATCTCAAAAACTAATTCTACTTGATTTGGAAAGAATAATATGATATAAGCGGGATATTATTTCAAATAAGAAAGCAAAGAAAATATGATTAAGTAAAAAATAAATTGCAATTTATTGTTTACTTTATAATTGAAAATTAATTTAGATATTATAATTAGCAATATTGTAATATTCATATAGCTCAGAACAAACAAGAATAATGTATATCATAAAATTAATTATAAGTCATATATTTGGGAGTTGCAGAGAATTTAGCATAAGATTTAATCACTTTGTTTACAGCTTCTAAAAAGTCTTTTTCAGTAGCCACTTTACGACGTGCACGAATCGCAAACATACCAGCTTCTGTACAAACAGATCGAATTTCAGCTCCAGTACTGTTAGGACATAAACGCGCGAGAAGTTCAAATCTAATATCTCTTTCAACACTCATTGAACGTGCATGAATTTTAAAAATATGTGTTCGTCCTTCTAAATCTGGTAATCCGAATTCTACTTTTCTATCTAAACGTCCTGGTCGCATCAATGCTGGATCTAATGTATCTGGTCTATTTGTTGCCATTAATACTTTAATGTTACCTCGTGGATCAAAGCTAGAATATTCAGAACAGTCATGGTTACTTATGTTATTAGTTATTAGGAATATTTAATAATAATAGTGTATCTACAATATATAAAATAAAACATTTTTACCCATCTAATTGATTAATTAATTCAAGCATAGTACGTTGTACTTCATTATCACCGCCAGCTCCATCATCAAATCGAGCTCCACCAATTGCATCAATTTCATCGAAAAATATTAAACATGCTTTTTTACTACGTGCCATTTCAAACAATTCTCTTACCATACGAGCACCCTGGTAAATTATATGTAAGAAATATAGTATAATCTTTATTATTCAAGATACTTTTTTATAGAATTTAATTCTAACTAAAGAAAATATATGTATATTTTACAAATTTAATAGTTTTTATAAGACTTTATTTTTTAAAAATTAGCAAAATTTAAAATTTAACAAATCTTATTATTTACTGAACATATGAAATGAACATTGAATTAATTTCTATATTATTTCAAAATTGTATAAAACTTTCCGGAACTAATGATAGAAGTATAACTAATAATTGAAAATATGAAATTGTTTTTGTATTTTTTGACTTTTTATTCAATAACTCAATGTTTTCATATAATTATCTATAAAATCATTATTTGTAGTGTAAGCTGAATATATATAAATTTAATTTACTTAGAAAAAGTATTAAAAACTACAATAGTATTAAAAAGTATAAAAATTATATACTAAGAGATTTTAAATTTATGTATGAAAACATGTTTTAAATGATGCTTTTAAAACTGTTTTTAAGAATATATTAAAATGTTTACTCATTCATTATTTATAAATTATAAACGTTCTAGAAATATCAAGAACTTCATAAGTAGGAAAAAATAATATTTTGAAAATGATTAGTTTGTAAATTTACATTCTTTGCTTATCTACTAATGTATATTTTCTTTGTTAAGTTTTTAATAACTCTCAGTGAAAACATATCACACTTACCTCACCAACATATTTTTGAACCAATTCAGAACCAATAACACGAATGAAACAAGCATCAGTTCTATTAGCTACAGCTCTAGCACATAAAGTTTTGCCTGTACCTGGTGGACCAAATAATAAAACTCCCTTAGGTGGTTCAATTCCCAGATTGACAAATTTTTCTGGCTGTAATAAATAATTATATTTTTTATTACAGTTATTATTACTTTACATAAAACAACTTGGTGATTATGAAATACTAACATGTAATAAAGGTGTCTCAACTACTTCTCTCAATTTTTCAATTTGTTCTTTACAACCACCAACATCACTATATGTGACATCAGGTTTCTCTTCGACTTGCATCATTGTTACAGTTGGATCAATTTTTGGTGGAAGTGGAATATGAATTTGATATTTGTTACGATCTACTCCTACTCTCATTCCTTCCTCAATGTCAGTAGGAGCAACGGAATCTGCTAAATCAACTACAAACTTTGCAAATTGTTTTACATTTATAATATATTTAGGATCATCAGAATTCGCATTGATTATTTTAGTGCACCGTGCAACTTGTAACGGTTGTTCATTTTGTAAAGTTTGTTTATCTGCAGCTAAATCCCACAAGGCAGGCGGTGCAAGACCTGTATCAGATTCTTTGATTCCAGTCAATTCATTAACACGTTTAATTATTGTTTGTATATCTTCTTCAACAGCTTTAATACTTTTTGTATATTGTCCTTGTCCCTATAGAGAAAATAACATTAGCTTTAACAATGACAGAATAATCCCAAGAATCTTTATTTTAACCTTAATTTATAATAAATAAAAAATTGTTTTTTTTCCTATCTTACGATTATTATACAATATTTTGCTTACATAGGTTTTAAGCAGAGCAATGTCTCCTTCATCGAGAGCTGAAATAATAAATTAATAATAAATTTTATTAAATCACAACACTTAAAGACAACTACACGATTTAAAACTCACATTTTATTTCTTTCTCTTCCTTTCCCTCCTCATTTTTTACTTTTCGCATATCTTCTCCCAAATGATCAGGCATTTTTATATTTGTTAAATTTTTCCAAATGTTAAATGTACTTCATTCAATGAATGAAGAAATTGACGGAAACTAAATTTAAGGTTAGATACGTTCTTAGCAAAAACGCAAGTTCATTCGCTGACCTCTATGTTATTAATTGTGAACTATTGTTTCTTAAAATACATACATCTGATACATGCGTAAGTAAATAAATTATATTACATTTACTTATAATATATAAAATTAATTTTCATATTCCTATTATTTCGTACTAATATCCGTAATATATACAGTAACAAATAATATGTAATACTAATACTAATAATGTAGTATTATATTTCTCAATAGACAATATTTTTAGTCACAAAAAGAAATTGTTTACTGCAGCGAGAAGTTTTAGCTTGAAAGAAAAAAATATATTTTATTAAAACTGTTCGTAGTAACATTTACAATTTTTTTATTAAAATTAATTACGTGTTAGACTAAAATCAATATTTCTTACTTTGACTAATTTAATCAACAGTTATAATTTCTTTTGTAATTTAATCTATGATAATAATAATAGTAACGGTAATTATTTATAAAAAGTCAAATTTTGTAAGCATAATTCGATTTAAAAATATTAAAAATGGTGGTTATAATGGTGTGAATTAATATTGATAATTAATGTTACTACATTTCTAATTATTGTGAATATTATAAATTTTCAGTTATCACACATGCATTAAATGTAAATTTTTTTTTTTTTTTAGTTAATTTGATTTTAATTTAATTATGCATATTTCGGAAACTTAATTAATATAAATAAAATAAAATAATAAGATTGATATATTGACTATAAATAAGTATTAAAATAACTATTAAAATAACTATTAAAATGTGTAAAATAGCCATTAAAATGTAATATGGGATATAACTTGCACATATAGTATATAATTATATAAATTATATAATAAAAATTATAAGACAAGATAAATGTAAAATACAAGATACATAATTTTTATAAAATTATACTATCACATATACAGGGTGTCCACTTCGGCAAAAATCAAGTATTGTTATCTTCATCTTCAAATTTGATTTTTTCGAAAACTAAATGTCAAGTGAAAAAGTTTTATTCTTACCTTTCGATTCATTTTTGCATGCAGAATCATCTTTCAGTTAATACTGTACATTAAATTCAGTCAATAATTTTGAATATTAAAAATATATGCATAAAGTGAATCGCTCTTTTAAAATAAGTAATTGAAAGAAAAGTACAATTGATTTTTTTTTTTTTTTTTTTGAATAGGAAGTTGTACTTTTATAGTTGTATTAATTAATATAGTTTCCTAATCTGTATGAAAGTTCAGAATATTCTTTATTTCAATATGTCGGCAGATGCCATTTATGATATAACAACTGCTCGAATCATCCTCTTGTTCTTCAATCGCTTTTACATTTTTCTTATCTTAATACATATTGAATATTTATTCATAGGAATCTGGTAATGATCACTATACTTATTCGTAAGAATCTTAAACGCTTACATAAGTATATAAGATGTCCAATTTTAATTTACGGTTGTGAATTACTAATAAACTATTCGCTTTATATAAAAATTGGTTATAATGATAATTTGATGTAATTTTTTTTTCGTAAATTACGAACGCATAGAAATGAAATTATATAATTTTTCATTTATCTTGAACAAAGTAAAATTTCAAATATACTGTACTTCTAAACGTATTAAATAATTTGAATACATATATGTGTTATATTGATAAATGTTTCTTAAGATTTGCAATTATATAATTACAATTTTTATAAATAATTACTATCAATTTAATATTTTTTAATGTTAATATTTATTTGTATTCATATAATCTTTCTCTTCCTATAATTTAATAAATTTATATACTATAAATAATAAATTATATAAATTATATATTTAAATTTATAATTACATAGGTTATATTGATAAATATAATCTATTATATAATTTAATTATAATTTAATTATAATCTATATAATTAAACTATTTTATACTACATGTATAAAATATTTCATGCTATAATTTTTTTTTCAATTAAATTTTTATATTGCATAGAAAGTAAAGTAAAAAATATTTTATAATATGTGTTGGGGAACTTGAATGACAATGTGTTCTTTATTTTCTTTATTATAAAATGATCTACAGTTTTTATTGGTAGAAAAGTATGATTGTGTAATATTAGTATTTTGTAAAAAATAGTATTAGTAAGTTAGTAATTTGTGAAAAATAGTATTTTTTTTTCCTCTATTTGACAGAAAAAGATATCTGAATATCTGATGTGTTGAGACAAATTAGGCCGACACGCTTTTAGTACGAACTTACGCCTCACACAAGAGTTGTTACTTGTACAGGTGAATGAACATTTCAAAGGAAGTGCAGGAACCGCCCAAGTTGCATCGTTCGTGTTAGACAGTCCTTGACCGGGATGATCTGTAGAAAAATGTAAGATAATGAAAGATCCGATAGAACACTTTCACCTGTATTCATCCCAGCCCTCTTCTTTTATTGCAATTCTCGTTCAACTAGCATGCTTTTGCAATTGAAGTTCAACTAGCATGCTTTCCCGCACTATTGGGATACGAGTTCACAGGTTATGGACCATTCTGTATTTCACTGTGAAATATTGCATGTATACAGTTTGATATTCAGTACATGTATACAGTTTGATATTCAGTGGTATCGAGCTCATACATTGTTTAATATATGTGAAAAGATTGATTTGTTGATTTCTTAAATTTTCTTTAGTTTAATAGATATTAGATATTAGATTATAGATATAGATATTAATAGATATTAGATTTATTAAATTTTATTTAGTTTAATAGATATTAGATATAGATATTATAGATATTAGATATTAGATAATAGATATAGATATTATAGATATTAAATTTATTAAATTTAAATTCAAATTTAAAAAATACACATAGTTTTAGATTTGAGAAAATCGTTTTTTCAAAGTGCAAATTTGTAATTCAATATATATTTCAAAAGAAGTTTTTTAAACTTTTGAATTCAAATTAGAATGTTTTGAATAAAATAGAATGATAATTTTGAATAATATAGAATTCAAAATAAACTTTTGAATTAAAAATAGAATGTTTATTCTGCAAATAACTTAAATTTAATAATTTTTAAATTTAAATTTGAAAAATACATGCTTAGTACTTGACAAAATTATCTTTCCAAGAAACGGATTTTTATATCTATCTAAAAAGAAATTCTTTTAATTCTTAAATTTAAATTAAAAAGATTTTTTTATGGATATTAAATTAAGAAATTCCTTTTTGTTAAGTAGTAATTATAATTTTGTTAAGTAGTATAATTTATTTATTATTATGTATTTATTGTAATTGTATAGAAATTGGAAAGATTCTTTTTTTAAGTTTAAATTGTCTTCTCTGAAAGATTTATTATTGAAAAACACAAGCATATGTTGATGTTGATATCTGTAGTTTAATCATAGATGAACATTTAAAATATTTCTTTAATTTATATGGTAATTTGAATTTTTTTGTTAATATTCTTTTTTTTAAAATATTCTATATATTACTAAACATCTATCCCTATATATTACAGTATAACTTTTTTACTGTGAACTTTTAATTAATTAATTAATAATTAATAATTAATTAATTCATAATTTGAATTCTAATTATATTTTATATTTAACTATTTATTACTTTATTATATTCTATATCATTTGTATCATTGATTCAAATAATTTAATAATCCTTGTAATCTTAATTCTATTTACATTTTACTATTCATTAAATTTATATTATTTGTATAATTAATTCAATTAATTGTAATAATACTGACTTGATAATTTTAATTCTAATTATATTTTATTTTTCATAGGTTATATATATTATATCATTTGTCACATTAATTCAAATACATCATTTCAGTTGTATAATACAAACATCTTTAATGATGTTTAGTTAGTGAACACATTCTTGAATCTTTTCAATTATAATGAATGAAAAATGCAGCATAAATGAAGAACTAGCTATCCTTTTGGAAAGATCACTTGTTTCTACAGGTTATTACGATAACACTGCATTTAAAGATGCTCCGGGTATGAAACACGCCGATGATCATGCAATTTCTATCGAGATTACATAAACTTATTACATAAATAACATTGCTTTAAATATGATTCAAGTAGTAAATACTTGAACTAAGGAAATCAATAATGATATATAAGAACACTTAAGAGGAACACTTAAATAAAGTAAGAGAAAATAAAAAGATTTATTCATTTATTATATAGTTCATAAGAAGTACAGTAGGACTTCTTTTATTTGAACTATTATTTTTGAAATTACTATTAATGTTCGAATGTTGTATTAACCAACACGATTGTATGCTATTAACTAGAAAATTACTACTTATTGGCAGATATTTTATGGCTGTGATGTAACGATTGGATATTAAGATGTTTGTAAAATAATATACTTTACTATTATTATATAGACAACTGTATGATTGCTTTAGATATATTTTATAGTCTACTATGATTATACCAGTTGTAAGAAATATCTAACTATTCCTCTGTCTAAGAGGAAAGAGGTTGAAAAGGACACGAAATATAGTGAGAGAGGATAAGAAGGTTTATTCATCTATCATATAATGACTATTATATAGTTTCAAATTTTGGTACTTTTGTTATGTATATATGTATGTACATTTGGTCGGATCATAGGGCAATAAAGATTAAATACAAGCTTAGAAATTTTTATAAAAGTCATTTGGTTAGTTTAATATCTTCGGTAAAGATTCGGATTATATGGTTGCCTATAATCCGAATCATCAGGTCCAGGTGGATTAGCAGCAAGAGCTCGTCTGATCGCTTCTGGAATGGGAGGGGGAGTTGGTAAATGTGCACCTTGTGGATGGAAACCGTTCTCATCCGCTGTGTATTCCAGAGTGATAGGAGTTCCATCCGGTGCAGTGTATGAATATCTTCCTTGGACAACCTGTAATGATAAATATATGTGAAATTATTAGATATTAAATAAATAAAGTTAAATAAATTATAAAATAGAAAATATTTATAAAATCAAATGTATTATAAAATAGAAAGTATTTATAAAATCAAATGAATTATAAGATATAAAATATTTTAAGTATACAAAGTGTACAGATATTAAAGTATACAGGAGATTGTTTTGTAATTGATGGTACCAATAGGAGATGAAAGAATGCGTCAAAGAAAAAGATAAGATTTATCCATCTAAGATTTTGTTTTCGAGGAAATCAAATTTAACTTGAATTTAGTTAATTTTAGTTAATTATAAGAGATTATTCTACGCGTTAAAAAAGTCGAAAGCAAAATAGAAGTTTCTCGTTTTCGAGAAAATTGAATTTGAAAATTTGTCAAGTATACATGCACTAAATTTTCAAAATATTTATTTGAGGCTTTAAAGAAAAAAAATTCTACATTTTCTGACAAATTCTAAATTCTACATCTCTTTTCGCAGGCAGAACAACTTTTTATTATTATTAACTTCTATCTAATTCAGAACTAATCAAATTCAAGTGTACTTAATAAGTTTATAAATTAGATTTCCTCAAAAATAAAATTTTAAATAAAATTTTGTTCTTTCTTTTTTTGATTCATTTTTGTATATAGAATCATACTCCATATCTATGGTTGTAGACTGCAGATTTTGGATGCATTTATACAAAATTTAAAGTTATAAAAATGTATAAAAAGCACATAGTATGCATTACATACTATATAAAATTAAAAAGTTACTATAGTAATGGTATAATAAAGTTATAATATAGTGTATAAAATTAAAAGTTATATAAAATACCGAAATTATAATATGTATTATAATATATTATAATTTTGTATAACTATCCGCAGTTTAATCATCAATTACATGATAATTGATAATGTATATAATCTATATATATATATATTATATATTATATATATATATATATATATATATATATATAGGAAATTTGTAGCATAATCATAATAAAGATAGGAGTAAAGAGATAAGAGTAAAGTTTAAAGTAAAGATAAGTTAAAAATAAGTTAAAAATCTTTTAAAGTAATTAATTTGTTTTATACAAGATAATTATTAAAAATATTAATACTTATACTTTTATATTTATTAATATTATTATAAATAAAAATTATTATATTTAATTGTTACATTTTAATATCAATTTCATTATTAATATTATACTATTATATATGGTGTTATAATATTAATAAGTATTAATAAAATTAATAATTAGTAGTTAATAAATTGAAATTAATTATTATTAAATAATAATAATTAAACCTTACCTCGCTCTGTCCCTGCGGAGTACCTTGAGGTCGTCCACTTTCGGCAACTGAAATTCCATTTTCAGTATCGTAGCTAAATGTGTAAGTTCCATCTGGATAGGTATCTTTTTGTTGATTACGTATGGCTATGAACCTTCCAGGACTACTACAGAAAGGACAGACATTTTGTTAATTTTTAAATTTAATTTAGCTACGACTTGAAATTTCTAAATAACCATTTACATGTTATTATTTTATCATTTATTTATTAAATATTCCAGGTCATTATGAAACCAATATAAATTGAAATACAAAATAATATTAATAAATATGTTTGTCATTACTAAAAATTTTTATGCATTTATGACTGAAAAGTGAAAAAAAATGTAAAAAATATCTAAAGTAGAATATTTATTGCTATATTCATCTATACTTAGTATAAGTCATGAATATATAAAATATGTAAAATATATTATTTTTAATGACATTTTACAGATTAAAGTAAACTAGTTTCCAATTATCTTCATAAAAATGTGAGTTTGCATAAAAATCCGCTGACTGTTCATAACAATTTAAAAATGTATAAAAATACATAGATAAAGTACAATATATGAAGTATCAAAATTATAATACATGTTACAATACTTAATAAGTGAATTCTACTTTTCAAATTATTCTCATAAAAATGTAAATTTGGACAAAAATTCGCTATCTAATAATATGATATGTGTAAATGCATACTTATACTGGGGTGTATACTGCGGTTGTATCGTTGGCTGATAGGTTGGCCTAGGTGTTGGTCGATAAGCATTTTGACTTGGGAAACCGCGAAATGCACCGTATTGCCCTAAAACGCAGCCGAATAATGCAAACACCAACAACTGCAATCAAATAATAGAATTTTGATATTAATTTGTTTCAATTAACTATGTATAAACGTGCAGCGAATCTTATTATGCAAATAGCTGTACATTTCATGTTGTTAGAAATAGATTCATACAAATCTCTGAAATATTACTATGTCATTCAATTCAAGACAAATAATTAGTAATGAGAAATTCAGAAGTTCAGAAAATTCTGAATAATTAATATAAAAGAGAAAGAAAACTTCT